GAGGATTGTAGACTCAGAGATCAAAGAAACAAAGTAGTTTGAGACAATGTATAGTCTCTGCCAACACACACACACACACACACACACAGAGAGAGAGAGAGAGAGAGAGAGAGAGAGAGAGAGAGAGAGAGAGAGAGATACAGAGAGAGAGAGAGAGACAGAGAGCTCGATCAGGGAAGGTGGGATTGTGAGAAAGAAACATGACAAAATAACAATTTGGTTGAGGTGAAGGATAGTTAAATCTTTATTGCATTATGTTCTCCAGTTTTTATATAGGATAGAAACATTTAAACTAAAAATGGGGCTGGGAAGCCATGAGCTAACAATGAAGAAGGTAGCTTCCAGTCCTCAAAGACAGTGACTTAAAAAACAGAAACCTTTGACTACTGTCAAGAGAGTGACAGAGAGGAAAAAGTAAAGCTGTTGATAAGAACAAGGTCAGGGATGTGGAAGGTAAATGAAGGAGAAGGCTGGGTAAAATGAAAGGATATAGGCTACTTTTTTTAAAAAAAATAGGAGGGTCGGGGCTGGAGGGAGGGCTCAGTGGGTAAGAGCATTGGCTGCTCTTCGAGAAACCTAGGGATCAATTCCCAATGTCTACATGACTGCTCACAACTGTCTCTGTCTCCAGCTATGAGCAATATACATGCAGATGGTGCACAGACAAACATGCAGACAAAATACCAATGCACAGAAAATAAAATAAAAATAAAGACATAAAAATAAGCTGAGAATAATGACATGTCTTTAGTACTAGCGCCTGGGGTCCAGACGCAGGCATGAGTTCAAGGTCAGCCTGGTCTACATAGGGAGCTGTAGGCTAGTCAAGGCTATATAAAGAGATCCAGCGTATACATCGATTACTAATCACTTAGGAGAAATGTGACCTGAGGCTAAGGAACCGTGTGGAAGTGAAATGGCGGTCAATGAGGGGAAGGACGAGCTAACTGGGGACGTGAGTAATGGCTTTGTCTGAAGACATCACTTTGGAAACCCTAGACATCCTTTCTCTAGGACCAGAGGTTGAACTGTATTGCCTGTTACAATTACCAAATCCCTGTTCCCCAAAATCTCACTAGGATACACTCCCCAGAGCTGAGACGTGATTTCTATAGATCCATAGGAGTAAGAACTTCTATAGGGCACAGTAGAGACTCTTAACGGGATTAAATAGAGACTGCTTTAGGGGCACAGTAGAAACTCCTCCAGGGGTACACTAGAAACTTGTACAGGTGTGTAGTACAGATGTCTACAAGGTAACAGCAGATTCCTACAGGGATGCAGTAGAGATGCCTCCAGGGTTGCTCTGTCAGGACCAAAGGAAATGCCACTGCCCCAAATTCTGGGATCCATTCACCTTTACCAAAGGAACCATTCCTCATCATCACCAGAGAGGACAACTGGCTACCTGCGGTGCCTATTAGCATATCAAAGTTCATGCTGACCTCCAGGCTCCCTCAGCCTGCTGCCTCCCACCTGAACTCCTCCAGTTCCTGTGTGTCCCTTTCCCAGTTTCTCATCCATATACAAACTTGCCTTTTGGCCATGAATTGTCTTAGTTCCCTCTCCCTATCCTCTCTTGCCTCCACATCTTACCCCTCTCCCTTGGTCTCCTTTTTCCCTGTACTCTCCTCTCTTTCTTGATCACTCTTTCCTTCATCTCTCTTATGGCCACATCCAACCCAGTGGTCATGTTGAGTCTACTACTCTCTCCCTGCTCTGGATGCTTCCAGATGCCTCTGGCTGTCCTCTCCCTCATACCTACAATAGAAATCTCTCCTCAGCCGTACCCCGGAGCAGTCATGCCCTCAGGAAGTGACTTAAGACATACAAAAAATGAGAAATGTTTTGGATTTTTTTCCCTCTCCCTCTGCTATTAGGATTTCAGAAGTTCAGAGTTTCACCATTAATCAATGGAGTTCTGATCAGCTGTTAACCCAGCCTGACGACTATTATTACTATCACAGTCTCAAGCTCAAAACCTTAAATTCCCTTTGGTTGCTTTCTAAGAATAGACTTGAAGGTTGGCCTCATTGTTCTGGAAACACCTGCGTCTAGTCTGTAAATAGCCAGCTCTATGGAGAACCATCCACTCCAGCTGTTGATAGACACTTGTCAACTGCTTTTTCTACAAGGAGGACTGGCTCCTTTGGTAGAAGGGAATGAACCCTATAATTAGGGGAGTGAAGTTTCCTTTGAACTGGACAGTTTCTACTGCTCATTTTTCACTGATGTCCTGAAGAGGCCTCTGACATTGGTCAGGAGGAGGCTGCCTTGCCTGTTTGTGCTTCAGCTCACACTTCTTGCTGATTTCCCTTGGCATCTACTCATTTTCTTCCATTCAACCCAAACACTTAACGATCCTGGCACTGCCATACTCTCCACCTAAACACAGCACACCCCAAAGTCCAATCCCTTATTCTCCCAACATTGTGTTAGCAGAGTTTCCTGCTAAATCAGTGTCCATCATTTACATTTTTATTTACTGAATCAGTTTTCTAAGCATTGTGGAACACTTATTTTGTGCCAGACACTAGGGACTCCATGTATATTGACAGATTTATTTAGTATACATTAGAACATACAAGTATTCCATACAGATGAATCATAAAATTTACCAGGGCAATACTTCCATCCATGTATTATATTTTACTTTATTTAAAAATATTTTCTGAGCTCTATGTCTTTCTATTCTTTCCATGAGGCTTTCTCAACAGAATCTTTTCACGTTTATTATTTGAAATCATTTCCATTATAGTATTGATTTACAAATTGTTCTCTATTCCTTTGTGATCTTGTTTCCAATGGTAAACTGAAGTACAACTCCCCCAAAGCTTCTGGGAAACTTATGAATTCCCTGGCTTACTACATAAAGCACCTGCTATGAAAGCATGAGACTGGAGTTCACATTCCCAACACCATGTGAAAGAAAAGTTGGGCATTTAACCTCAGCACTCTGGAAGGCAGAGACAAGATGGGCGCTGGGGCTTGCTGGCTGCCGGAGTAGCTCTAAGTTTGGTGAAAGATAATGTTCTTATCAATAAAGCAGAAGATGGGTGGATCAGGACACCTGGTTTGTGCACACACACATGTACCACATGCATACTAATATATAAACTAGATAAAAATTGCTTAGAATTCAATATATGAGTATATCCACATATATTTGTAAATAGTGAGGATTTGATAAAGAAAGAAAATTATATCATCTATACATGCAGAATCCTGGGGCAGAGCTGTGTGGTATAGATGGGACTGTTCCTCAACTGTCATCTATTGCTACAGGTATTAGTATGCTACAATACATGCTGGAGGTAGTAACAAACTATTGAGAGAACAGGGCTTGTAGCTAAGTGCATGCACAAGGCCCTGGATTTGATCCCCAGCACTAGAAGTGTGTGTGTGTGTATGTGTGTGTGTGTGTGTGTGTGTGCTGAGGGGGATATACTGCTGAGTTTGCTCAACACAGAGCTGTGCCGTGGTGTTATTTCAGAGTGCACACTGCCCAAACCCCGTGTCCTCTCTCCAGTTCATGTCCTTCACATCCTTTCTTCCCACCTGTCCACTGTCTTTAAAGACCTTATTGTGCCTACTTTCTGTATACAACCTGTGCCGTTACACACAGAATTAAAAGTTTTTCCAGAAGCCTCTAGTGGCTGTTGGAAATCATGAGGAAGAACTGTCTTCTCCCACAAATGTGGACAGTGTGAACATGGTAGCAACTTCCAAGGGTGTTTAACAGCAATATAGTTAACAGTTTAACAGCAATATAGTGGCACCAATTCTTACCACCCAGCTACCTTTGGAGACGTTTTATTAGACAGTCCCCTCTGCAGAAGAAAATCTGCTGCCTTTCCCTCTGATAACCTTTAGCTTTTTTTATGTGCATACACCCTAAATATCGATTTCATACCAAGTCAGCAGACCTAGGGATGCTGGTCATCCTCTTCGGAGCCCCTAACAGGGTCCACAGCTCCAGGGCAGTTGCAAACATGGCAGGCACTGTGTTATGTGCCAGCCAGCGCCTTTCCTCAGCCTTAGTGCCTGGGGAAGGGAGGGGAAGCACATCACTGCTTCACAGCCCTGCTGGGAGCACACAGAATACCCACCCACTTCCTGACCTCCTCACGCCCCTTCCTGAGGTAGTGCGAATGTGATGAGGTCACTGTCCTCTGACTGACATACAAGTCACCTTCCCAATTTGTGTGGACAGCAAGTTCTCATTTTGGCGCCGCAGTAGACGCAGGAGCTACAAGAACACAGCACCAGGCTCAATAGCAGTCTCCTCAAATCCATGGCCATGGAACCTGTGAGCATGACATCACTTAGAAATAAGGCCTTTGCAGATGCCATTAAGATTAGGTCATACTAGAACTACAGTGAACCCTAAATGTCAGAGGAAGTTCTCTTTTTAAAAAGATTTATTTTACTTGTGTTTGTGAGTGTGTTCATGTGCATATATGGGGATGCCCACGGCACCTGAAAGAGGGCATTGGGTCACCTGGTTCTGGAATTGCAGGCAGCTGTGAGCCACCTGACGTGCACACTGGGAATGGAACTTCAGTTCTCTGCAAAAGCCACATGTGCTCCTAATGACTGAGCTGATTCTCCAGTTCAATGACCAAAGTTCTTAAAAGAAAAGAGAAATTTGGGAAACACAGCCAGAAAGCAGTGCAGAGAGCCAGGTGAGGATGGAGCCTTGGCTGACAAACACTACTGAGAACAGTTTCCTCCCTACAGCTTATGGAAGGAGCTGGCCCTGGGAACACCTTCATTTCGCTTGTGTACTTCTGGCGGTGTGTCAAAATTCATTTGTAAAATCACTTTAAGCCATGGTATTTATGGCGTCTCATTCCAGCAGCAGCAGGACTCTAATTCACCAGCCAGGACACAATTGTCCACCCAGGCACCAAGGCAGCTTCCCACCTTCTAACTGTTTGCGCCACCACGTCCTGATGTCAGCCATCTCCGCATTCCAGTGTCCGCCTCCTACAGGGCACTTGATAAGCTGGGTTGGCTACAAGATGAGAGAACTCATTCTACCCTCACATGGGCCCTTCTTTTACGTTTGTATAAGTGCCTGTCCTGTCCAAAGACTCGCAGAAAGCGTGGGTTCGTGTCCAGAATCCACTCCGGCACTCGCAGCGAACTGCTGCTTTGGGCACGCGGGTGTGCACTCTTCCCCAGGCCAGCAGTTGCAGGATCGTGCCTGAGGCTTTCCTCAGTTGCCCAAGAGTGAGGTCACCCTGTTCCGGGAGCATCTGTGGCTGTGGGAACACAGCTTAATGGGATCTCCTCTGTCCAGCTCACTTGGACTCCCACTCTAATTTTGGCTCAGTGGTAGCAGTGGGGGAAGCCTCAGTTTACCTGAGTGAGTCAGCCTCTTTGAAAAACCAAGGATTGTGATTTTCTGACCTTCTAAAGCCAAGGGTCAGGTGATATGTGGACTCATACAGCCCTGGCCCACAACAGTGTGAAAACAGTGACAGCTTCATACTGAGCAGACTGGTCCCGGCTACATGGGAGACAGGTCACGACCACTCCTGTCTCAGTGAATTTCAGCGGCACGCATAAGCACCGGCAGTCTGGAGCATTTATCCACCTTCTTGGCGACAATTGGCAATTAAAAATATGCCTGTTTGCTATGGAAAAAGAAACAATACCAGTAACCCAGTAACAAACAAACAAACAAACAACAACAACAAAAAAAACCCTCATTCTGAAGCTCAGATCTATGTGGGATTTCTAAAATCGTCTACTAAAGAGTCTTACAATCCCTCGGGACACTGGAGTTTATGAAACACAGAGTTAGACTTGAGCAATCTGGGTTGGAGGGCATAGGTCAAAGGGTAAACTGATGTGAAAGTGAGGATGTTGCCCAGATCCCCAGCAACCATGTAAAAGCTGGAGGTGGTAGCCTGTGCCTGAAGCCCCGTCCTGGGAACCAGAGACGGGATAACCCAGAGGCGTAGTGGCCACCCAAGGCAGTCCAGTCCACAGGTCCACTGATGGTCACCAAGGCAGTCCAGTCCACAGGTCCACTGATGGTCACCCAAGGCAGTCCAGTCCACAGGTCCACTGATGGTCACCCAAGGCAGTCCAGACCACAGGTCCGGTGATGGTCACCAAGGCAGTCCAGTCCACAGGTCCACTGATGGTCACCCAAGGCAGTCCAGTCCACAGGTCCAATGAGAGCTTGTTTCTGGGGGTAAGGTAGAAGGAGAGTGAAACGGAGACTTGGCATCAGTCGCTGGCCTCTACATGTGCACACATGAACACACATACAAGTACATAAGTCACACACAGAAACATATACAAATACACAGACAGACACGCGCATGAACGTGCACACACACACACACACACACACACACACAGAGAGAGAGAGAGAGAGAGAGAGAGAGAGAGGGAGGGAGAGGGAGAGAGAGAGAGAGAGGAAGCACGTCTAAGAGAGGTGACATGTTAAGTCTGAACTCTTTATTTATTCACCCCATCCACCATCCTCACCATCCTCTAGCGTTCCGTTTCCGTGTTAGCAGCAACAGTCACGCCCTGATCACAGCCTTTCTCTTCGCCTGCATCTCTGTCTTTTGTGCACACAGGCTGTTGCTCAAACCCAATTTCCTAAAGCCGTTCCCTCGTTCCTTCCTAATGGCTTCAGTGCTAGTGTTAATAACGTTTTAGTCTCCCTACGTTCAGACTGTCCCCTTCTGCTTCCAGTTGGTATTGACACCAGTCTTATTTCTAGAAGTGTAGACTGATTTATGTCACTCCAGACTTTGACATACTTAAAGCAGTTACCTCTACCTTCCATTTTCTTTATGTGTTCAAAGTCCTTGATGTTTTTGATCTTCTTAGACCTTTATGATTTTATTCCTGCATAAATTAGGGTTCGCTATCGGGACTATATACATAAAATGTTGAAAGATAATTCACTGGAACAGCTTTCAGGCTGTGGTCCAACAGTGGTGGGCTCCTGACAGAAAGGTCATGACCCTGGAAGTTGTTCAGTCCTTAAGACTGGATATCTCAGCAGTCCCAGTATGGTGCTAGATACCAGGAAAGTTTTATAGAACTACTGGTTTCTGGCCTACATTGGAGTCCCATGAAGTAGGTGTAACCCCAGCGCACACCTCAGGAGCACACCAGATACACTTGCTGGTGACAGTGGACACAAGCAGGCAAGAAGCAGATGTGTGCTTTGCCGAAATCAGAAGAACTGTCTCTAGCCCAATTGCTACCATTGTTCCCCTCTGAATCCTCTTGAGCTGGGCTTCCAGAGTTCCTTGCTCTCAGCACCATCTTCCAAGCTCCTTTGCGGATGGCCCATTGCGCTCTGCTCAGACTTCCACTGCTTCTCTAGCCCAAAGCCTTCCACATTCCCCCAAAATGCAGCATGGTCAGGTCTGTCCCTGCAAGTCTACTTCCTGGAATGGACTTCTGTCTCGGCTACTTTCCTATTCCTAATAAAAATGACAACCAAGACAAATAATAAAGGAAGAATTTATTTGGGGCTTATAGTTCCAGAGGGTTAGAGTCCATGATCATTATAGCAGGAATCATAGCAGTAGGCAAACAGGCATGGCACCCGAGCAGGAGTTGAGAGCTCACATCTTCCTCTACAAGCAAGGCAAAGAGGGATAACTGGGAATGGGGTAGGCATTTGAAAACTCAAAGTCCATCCCCCAGTACCACACATCCTTCAACAAGACCACACCTCCTAATTCTTCCCAAACAGCTGGCCAAGTAGGGACCAAATCTTCAAATATATAAGCCTATGGGGCCACTTTTATTCAAACCACTGCAAACCATAAGTTGCCTCTGATGTCAAATCCCAGCAACACTAAACAAACTGCAGCTCATTCATTCTAACAAGATGCACTCTCTGTGTTTCTGTATCTTGCAGCATGCCTCCAGCCTGGAACGCCCTCAAATGGTACCTCTCAGCCCATTGTAGCCATCTTCTAAGCCTTGGCTTACCTTCCACCTTTTTAGGAAGCCCTTCTTAGACCACTTCTTTGAGTGAACTACTAAGTACCCTGTCCTTTCCCAAGTTATTACAGAAAATTAACTTATCATTGTTGGTCTGATCTTTCGCCTTCACTAGGCTATGAGAAATTTAAGGGAAAGAATCACAATTTCCCAGGATGTGGTGTCATGTGTCTTTAACTCTAGCACTTGGAAAGCAGAGGTAGGTAATCATTGATGAGTTCTGGACCAGCCAGGGATATATAGTAAGACCCTGTCACAAACAAACAAATCACGTTTTATCCTTTCTCCCTCTGAAGAACTGAGCCTAGTAACTAGAACAGACTGCACTGAATATGTGAACAGAGGATAAAGAAAGAAACTTACTAACATCTAAGAATATAATAACTATAAATAAGAATAGAAGGGACTACAGCTTCATAGACCACCAAAAGCCAAGTAACAAAATACTTTCCTGAGTATTGGTTTAGAGAGAGATTTACTACTATACACTGATGGAATTCATTAGGCAAACAGGGTAAGGGTAAAATGGCATTACATTTATATCCCTTGAAAATTTATTCTTTACTTATTTCAAAGTCTAGAGAAAAACCAGGCAGGCAGCATGATGCACAGAAACAGCTGAACATTTTCCTCCCTACGCCTAACCCATTCGTGCATTTGCAGTTAGTTATTTTAAGAACTCTCCCTGTTTGTCAGTCACTAGCCTGAATGCTTTCTAGGTGCGTCCACTTAGCCCTCACAACAAGCTCATTGGCAAGAGAAAAAGGTGGCTTCTGAAGATTGGGGAATGTCCTCAAAGTCACGCTGTACGTGCTAGAGCAAGGGTTTAATACAGAGACTGTCTGATTTACCCCTCTGCTTTAACTACACAAAACTTAGCTTGAAAATCCATTTGCTGATGGCCTCCACATAATTCTAAAAATGATATATGAAGCTTTTTCAAAATTCATTCCTAGATAGCACTGTTAACATGGGGAGGATGATGTGTAAAAAATAAAATCAATGCAGAAAACTTGGATATTTTGCAAGGCAGCATTTATGTTCTAAAGCTGTGAAATATAGGTATTGTTGTAATTTATACTCTCTCTGACCTCTGGAGCCTGGAAAATGGACAGACAGAATGACCTCAGAGTTAAGAATTTTACTTCGAGCAAGCACTGTGCTGTGGGGCCGCCCTCTTCGGTCACCAAGGACAAAGCTTTTCCAAAAGGTCATGAGTAAGACTGGTGTCCAGAATTCACCTGTTACACAGGCAGGAGAGATCACCAAGGTGCTCAGAAAAGCAAGTTGGATTGCCAGTGAAGTATTCTTTAGGACACTCTCTAGGTGTTGTAGGAGGGAGGACCATGACCCAAATGTGAAGGTGTGCCGAGCTGCCTTTCTAGGGAATGTGCATGCCACTATACTTCTGTTTGCTTTTTGCCTGTCAGTCTGTCTTTGTTATAGGGGTTCGTGCCAGCTGAGAATCTATGATCATTAGAGAAAACATTCTTCTTCTCTCTACAACATAAATAGGACTGTGCAGCATTTGACTTTTGTGCCTGATAGATTTTACTTAGCACATGCTTATCCTAATTGTATATATCAGTGGTTCATTCTTTTTTATTACAGGTAATAATTCATGGTATTGATTTACTACCACGAATTTAGCTGTGGTATGGATGGTAGACTAGTTCCTGATCTGGAGTTAGTGTGAATATTAAGAAGTGTGATTGCTCGGTCATTTAGAAAATGTGTGCTGAGCTTCATGAGAAACAAACAACCCAAATTTCCCAAACTGATTGCCCTGCTTTTCATTCTCACAGAGTGCTCTACTTTGTATTCTTATAAACACCTGTATATTCAAAAATTTTAATCTGTTATTTTTCCAGGTGGATATATAGTGGTACCTCTCATAGCTTTAATTTATGTTTCCCATACGACTGATGATGGTAGGCAGCTTTGCTTACTTACCTATCACCTGTCCTAGGTTTGCTACGCCATAACCAAAAGCTCCTTACAATTCCACATCAGAGTGGGTCACTGAGGGAAGTCAGGGCAGGAAGTCAAAGTGCAGAATCCTGGAGGCAGGAGCTGATGCAGAGGGCATAAAGGTGTTGTAAAGAAGCCCACTTGTTGGTTCCTGACTGCTTAGCCCTGAAATAATCACACAGAAACTGTATTAATTAAATCACTGCTTTGCCCATTAGCTCTAGCTTCTTGTTGGCTAACTCTTGCATATTAATTTAACCCATTTCTATTAATCTGTATATTACCATGTGGATGTGGCTTACCAGCTAAAGTTCTGGTGTCTGGTCTCCAGTGGGGCTACATGGCTCCTCATTGGCTCTGCCTTCTTCCTCCCAGCATTCAGTTTAGTTTTTCCCACCTACCTCTATTCCCTGTGCAGCCCCAAGTCAGTTTGTTGATTAACCAATGGAATTCATAGCATATAGAGGGGAATCCCATATTACCTCCCCTTTTCTGTTTAAATAAAAAGAAGGCTTTTTTAACACAGTAAAATTGCATATAACAAAACAAGTATTAAGCAAGAATTACAGCTATAATATTTATAGCTACTTTATCTTTTATCATAACTAAGGAAAACTATATCTATAAATTCTTCAATCCCATCAAAAACTCTAGAAGGATATAATATTACACAAGTAAACAAGAAGTGCATTGTAAGTAACTTCCAAAACTCTAGAATTGACAGAGATATCTCACTGTCTGGATAGTAACCCAAAGTTGTTCTGTACCACTGTGGCGTCCATCGTTAGCCTACAGGACCATAGTATCAAGCAGACTTTTTCACGAAGCAGGAAATTTCAAAGACAGTTCCACCTATATCGGCAGTTTATCAATCACTTTTCTTCTGTGTCCTACAGAATGTCTTGCAGACTCTTTCATGAAGGAGAAACCCTGCATGATAGTTTCATCTTTAAGCAAGTTCAGCAGTCATTTCTCTCTGGATGCTGCATGTCCAGTTCATCAAGCAGTCCAGGCAAGAGCAGTTTCTTGCCCAAATGGCTAGCAAACTCCATAAGTAGCTTCTTCGATGCCCATCTTCCTCTTGAAGTAAATGGTGCTGCCAGGAGCAGATGTGTCTCATTGTCATGAAAAGACCTAAGTTAAGTGCTATATTCTGAAGGTCTCCAAAAAGATTTGAAGAATACATATCTATCTGAAATACATCTCTATACATCTAGAAAATCTAACTAACATGACTACAAGCTTGACTATTATAGATAATTATCTATTAACCTATATTTCTTAATTATACATTACATTTTAAAATGAGCAACATAAACATAACACCTTATCAAGTGCAGAAATATAAATATACACAGTAAAACAATATTGACTTTAAATATACATCAATAAACCAGGATCCATACCAATGCAAATTACTCATGTCTATAGCATATCCCCCTTTAAATATAAAGAAACAATTATAAGCAATATTTGGGAATTTGGGCGTAGTTCTTTAGACTACTTCCTGCTGATTGGGGATGCTATTAATCAGGTCTTTTTATGGTATATCCTGCATGCTAGGTTCATCTCAGTGAGCAGTTAGGCAAAGTAATTTTTGGGGGTATTCATGGCAATCTTTCAGAGGGTCTTGGTTCTTCAAATTATATTAGTCTGGATGCAATCCACAGGTTCTCATCCTCTGTGGAAACAAAAGAAGAACCTCTTTTTCAAAGCAACATATTCTTAGACCCAAATTCTGAAATCAAGATACCTTTAAAGTATATATGTTGGTTACTTAGTTCCTTCACAGTCAAAAAATTCAAAGAAAACACAATAATATACATAATCCAGACTCTCTGTGAATTTTCCATCTTTATGTATCCAACACTGTGACCCACTTAGACTTTTTTTGGTCTGGATTTGTCTTTATTGCATAACTGTAATTATTTTCTGACCAGAAGCACTTCTTAAAATGCTATGTGCTTAAGAATCTAAGTTGCAGCATTGCTAGGGTATTTACATTACTTCCTGCTTGCTCTGTACAGTTCAGTATAGTGGAAGTTCATTTACCACCCCTGTAAGCCATGCACAATGCTCCATTTTTAGGCACACAGAGGGTCTATGCTGCCATTAAACAAGTTATAACACTCTGCTTACAAAACCCACTTAAAAGCTCAGCCTCCTTAAGAGGTTGTGCTGGTAGCATGGCCCAGAAAGCCGACATTTCAAAATGGCATGACTTTTTTTTTCTGCTATCACTAAATCAGGAAGACCTCCCTTACTAGAGCTGCAGCAAGTTGCCAGCAAGCAAAGCCCATTTGAAACAAAAAAAATGTGGCTAAACTTTGTTTTTTAGTGTCTAGAACTCCTTTCCAATCCCTCTCAGGTTTTATGTGGATTTTAGTTGGCCACATGGGTATTGATTTGTTGTAAGGAAGTCTGCTTGTTGGTTCCTGGCTGTTCAGTACCAAAATAATCACACAGAAACTGTATTAATTAAATCATTGCTTGGCCCATTAGTTCTAGCTTCTTATTGGCTAACTCTTGCATATTAATTTAACTCATTTCTATTAATCTGTGTCTTGCCACATGGCTGTGGCTTACCAGCTAAAGTTCTGGCATCTGGTCTCCAGTGGGGCTACATGGCTTCTTGCTGACTCCACCATCTTCTTTCCAGCATTCAGTTTAGTTTTTCCCACCTACTTCTATTCCTTGCACTGGCCCAAGATAGTTTCTTTATCAACTAATGGTATTCACACCATACAGAGTGGAATCCCACATCATGAGGGATTGTTCCTTCCTGGTCCACTCCTATAGCTTGCTCAGCCTGCTTTCTTACAGCACCCAGAACCACTAGCCCAGGGATAACCCTCTCATGTGCCCTCCCACATCAATTATTGTTCACAAAAGCAGCCTGCAGGCTTGCCTACAAGCAGATCTATGGGGCCCATTTTTCAATTGAGAGTTTGTTTCCTGAGTGATTCAAGTTTGTGACAAGTTGACTTAAAATTAACCAGGACAATATCTTCTAGGGTAAAGTTTATTTTCATGTCTTTTATTTTTAAAATAGAGTTGTTTACTTTATTATCATTGAGTTTGTAAGTACAGGCCTTCCACAAGACATATTCTATGCAAAGATATTTTCTCCGAGTACAATACAGGAGTAAGGACAAACAAGTGTTCAAGGATTTAGAATCCCTGGGCATGTAAACCCAAAGCATGTTTCATGGGTTTCAGCAACTGCTAAGCAGCAGCCAGAATGGGGGAAAGGGGAAGAAATAACAGAGTTCCACAGTTTGGCTTCTGTCTACGTTCACCTCCATCTCTGAAATTTCTAGCATTTTGAACATTATATTCAAATATGCATGCATGGGAGTATGTGCACTTGAGTGCAAGTGTCCAAGGAGGCCAGAAGAAAGTGTAAAGTGTTAGAACCAACCCCAGTCCGACCCTGGAGCTGGAGTCACAAGTAGTTGTGAGCTACCTGACATGGGGGTGGGAATTGATCCTCTGTGAAGGCAGAGCATTTGCCTAGCCACTGCGCCGATTTCTCGGAGCTAGAAATCTCCAGCCCCGATTTCTAGCATTTTATATAGTCCAGATGCTTTCCTTTTCTTACCTTACTTACTTACCTGCTGCTGCTGTTTTAGGCTGCGAAGCAAATACGGAGCTTCTGCTTGCTTCTCTCTGGATGCAAATCAACAACACAATTTCTACATTTCACAGCCCCCAGTGTAGGATCACTAGAGCTAAGCAGCATGCATGGAATTTAGCCCTAATTATACCTAATTCAAATTTTGGATACCATGCAGCTGCCTCCTTGAGTTTTTGGATCTTTGGAGGAAACAAACCAGAGAATGTTGTCAGGCAGAAGCTCCTGCGGTACTTACTTTGTTCAAGCACTGTCTCCATAGAACTTCAACTAGAAACGCATGGCAAGGTGCTGTGGGGAGAGGGATTGGGTCCGTGGTATTTGTAGCCATACATCACAGGCAGGATATAGAATGGCATTTGTTATAGCTTTTCACTGCCTTCCTTCTTCCCACATTCATCCTTCTTCACTCTCCTCTCTCTGATGCTAGGAACTGAACTTCCTCAGTTTCTGCCTCCAGCCTGACTACAGGGTCCTCCCCCCCACACCCACGACAACAAGACTTCTGAATAACGGCCTCCCTCACTGGCTCCCTGGTTAGCGGTGGGAAGAGCATTTTCTAAGGCTCCTCAGAAGGCTTGTAGCAGCCGGCCAGATGAATGGTCAATCTAATATCTGTTGTTCCTGTTGTGTCCTTGGGGACTGGTACTTGTGTGTCTTGTGAAGTACTAGGAGGGGAACCTTTCTGAGACCTCAATTTCAGAGAAATATAAGGTGAGACAGAGGATGCAAAAGAAGGAAACAAATGTGTGTGTGCATATATGCGTGTGTGTGTGTGAGCTCGTGTGGTGTATGTGTGTGGTGTATGAGTGTGTGTATGTGGTGTGGGTGGTATGAGTGTGTCTATGTGTATGTGGTGTGGATGCTGTGAGTGTGTCTGTGTGTATGTATGTGGTGTGTGTGTATGTGGTATGTGTGATGTGAGTATGTCTGTGTGTATGTGGTGTGTGTGTGTCTATGTGTGATATGTGTGCCTGTGTGTGTAGTGTATGTCTATGTGGT